TATATATATATATATATATATATATATATATTGTATAATGAGCCAAATTCTAAGTTAATATGAGCCCAACATTTGAGAGGCTCTTAATAATTTTACCCACATGACTCAACTTCGTCTCAATATTACATATCTCTTTCAAAACTCATCATCAGAAAATGAGCTAATCTTGACTAAATTTTTTAAATATTGAGTTTGATAATCAATTTTGAAAGTAGGCCTGACATTAAATTTTTTGTACTCAAAATTTATTTATCTCCTTCCCCTAAATATCACTGTAAAACACCATAGATATGGTAGTTGAACTCTTAAACATCAAATTACTTTCTGATGTTAAATCTTACAAATTAAAACACTTTTTGATGTAATGATTGGAGCTTGGTTGAGAACTCCAAAATAAAATTTGTCATGTTGAGGCCCCCCACGATATAATTGTAATAGTTTATCAAAATTAAGTTAATAAAAATAAAATAATATGATTGCAATAGTTTATCAAAAGTTAAGTTAATAATTAGCAATATTAATTATAACTTAATAACAGAAGTTATAGAAATAAATTAAATAAAAATTTAGATTACATAAAGAGAACAACCATAATTAAACAATTTAAATAAAGTAATAACTTAACCATAATTTAAGAAATTATAATCAAAATGAAGTGATTAAATTCAAAATGAAGTGATTAAATTAGAGATAAGCATTATACAAATCTAGTTAAATATTTGATAAAAATTTAAAAATACAAAGAATTCTATAATATGCATCATAAATAAAAAACGAAGTAAAAAAGTAAAGAGAAAAAACAAGTTACTTGTCATCAAGGTGAGTACTCGTGTTTAAATTTTCGGTGATTTTGTTGTTTCCTCTAAATTTTATACATTAATGATTGTTATTTAATCAATTGTTATTGTAAGTTTCACTATGATTTACTTCTATTATGAAATAGATAAATCATATTGAAACAAATGACAAATTAATTGTTAAAATTTACTCGCTTATCATATATATTATTTAAAATTAATTATAAAAAATAATGAATAATATGTATCATGTAAATAAAATAGATTACATAATGTATTTTATAGATCGAATTGATTATGGAGTTCACAATTTTATGGTATTAGCTGGGAAAACTAAGCTACTTATGCATGTAATTTAAAAATGAATATTAATATTTACATACATTAAGTGATACAACTTTAGACAAAGCTCCTATGACAAATGTGTACGTATGAAAAAATATTGATAAGAAAATAGATTTTGTTGCATTATATAATAGTTTAACATCTCTTGAATACAACTACATACCATTATCCTACTAAGTGAGGTCGACTACATGAATCCTTTTTCTCCATTGCGTCATATTGGCTATCATATTTTCTTTGAAAATCTCTTGAAAACACTATAAATATTTACAATTAAATAGCATCATATTATTTCTATCTTCATTATATTAATGTAATTTAGAGGCATGAATATTCACGAAGTAGTTAAATTTAAAGTAAAAAATTTCAACCAAAAAATTTCGACTAAAATGAGTTAAATAAATGAAAATAGGTATAAAAAACATAGCCAACGACCAACATAGAGAAAGATAAATCTAGATTTACTTGCCTTATTTACAATTAAATTAATTTTTTGTACTTACCTCAATGTATGTTTTTTGCTGATGATATTCTTCTCGTGGAAAAACGAGAGAAAAAACCCAGGAAAAACTTGAATTATGGAGGTCTACATTGGAGTCTAAATGCCTTCATTTAAGTAGAACTAAAACTAAATACATTGAATGTAATTTTAGTAGTAGTAGCTCGAGTGCCAGAAGTGTGATTTTGGGTGATCCAATTATTAAAAGGTGTGAACGATTTAGATATTTTGGGTCCGTTGTTCAAAGCGATGGTGATATAAATGGGGATGTTAGTACTAGAATTCAAGTTGGTTGGTTGAAGTGGAGGAATGCTTCGGGCCTTTTGTGTGATAGAAAAGTACAGCTTAGATTGAAAGGAAAATTTTATAAGACGGTGGTGAGACTTGCAATGCTCTATGGAGCTAAATGTTGGCCTTTAAAAGAGAAGCATAAAAATAAGTTAAGTGTTGTAAAGATGAGAATGATTAGGTGGATGAGTGGCTTTACACTTAGAGACAAAATGCGGAATGAATATATTCGTGATAGGGTTGGTGTAGCTCTTGTGACAGACAAAATTAGATGATTTGGTCACATTAAACGTCGACCATTTGATGATCCCATTAAGAGAGTAAATGTTTTAGATTCGACTTGTGTTAAGAAAGGTAGAGGTAGACCTAGGAAGACTTGGGCCTATTGTATAAAAAAATGATCTTAATTTACTAGAACTAAATGAAAATATGACACTAAATAGAACGCAATGGAGAAAAAGGATTCATGTAGCCGACCACACGTAGTAGGATTAAGGCTTTGTTGTTGTTGTTGTTGTTGTTGTTGTGTTCCTTATTTCAATTAGCTGAATGAATCTATTGATTAGTTAGTAATAGCATTAGAAATAGAGAATTTGAATTTTATCGCCTAAACATTTGTTCCCGCCTAAAAAATTTCAAGCTCATTGGTTGGATCGTGACAAATATCATTTTTGAAGCAGAGATAGGATGAATGAAAAGAACCCAAGGCAATATAGATGTTCATTTTATATGATGCCTTGATAAAGGTCCTACAGGATATACCCACCACTTAATTGTGGCCAATATATGAGCTTTTGAGTATGACCAAAGCTTTCAAACTTCATCAAATCCCAACACACCCACAATATTGTGTCATTGTGAAGAGGTATGCAATAGGAATGAGTAAAGCAAAACAATTAACACTAGGAGAATTGTCAAAATCCAAAAGTTCATGACAAAGGATAAAGGTCACAACTAGCATATATGGAACCCAATTCTTGTTTAACCTCAAATCTGAAATTGCTCTCTACTCTCATAATTTCATTCTTTTACCACTCACATGAGAGTTATCTAAATTGAAAATCAACCCTCACAAGCTATTTTTTAACACTAGCAATCATCATGTACCAAAAGCCTGCTTAAGCATTTAAATTTGTTAAGCAATCACCAAGTATTAAAACTTGCATAACAGGGGAAGAAGACACCAAGCCCAATTTTTGCAGTTTAATCATTGAACCTAGTATAGCTTGATATAAGAATGAATGCCAGAGCAAAAGTTAAGCTTACACCAGTGGATGACAATGATTAACCTAAGAAGATAAGCGCCAAAATTGGTAATGCTAAAATTTCAACTCTTTAACTACTTTTGCCAAAGGAAGACTATGCTCCCCTTATTCTCATTTCAGCACGGATGAAAAAATATAGTGATAATTACACCAAGAAAGCCTATTTAGGAAAAAATATATATATGTATGAAGAATAGATAAATAACAAATGGCCATGTGCCCATCAATAATGCAGAACAACCACAACGGATAAGACATTTATTACATCATTTATTCTCAAAAATTGGCAAGTAAACCCAACCAAGGGAATTGCACCTTTCTCGTGAAAAAAAAAAAAACTAGCTGTATCCATACCACACTTAATCATTTATACATTTTTGAAATTGCATAAATGAAAAAGAGAATGGAGAAGCATAACACTAAATGTGTCAACAATAAATGGGAAATCACTAATCAAGCTTTTGGTAATTACTTGTAATGGAAGGTCAACACCATAAGTGTAATATGATAAAAATTGTGTTTATTTACAAGCAATTCCAATCAATTGTCATATTTGAGACGACTAAGACTTATTTCAAATAGAAGAGAAGCATCAAAACTGAAAAGATTTTTGACAGTGCAAAGCATTATGAATTGGTTAATAATAAAATTCAACTTGTTTTTTTTAGAATAACTTTAGACCATACAACTAGCTACATTGTTTAGATAATACACTGTAGGAACAAGGAGTCAACTTCATTACAGTTTTCCAGGATGTAGAACTTACAACTTGATCCATTTTTAAGAGGATGCAAATTCATCCCTGAGATATTGTGCTATTCTTTTTATAATTCTTTCACTAATCTAGTTAGACTTCAGGTGGAAAATATAAACAAAAGAATAGTGAAGGGAAGTGCTTTAATGAGGTAGCTTTAGCAAGGAAACACATATACAATCTACTCAAAAGGTTTTAAAAGGAATGGACAAAGATAATGAGAAGGAGAGATCATGGTCAATTACTTGGAAAAATATTGATCCGCTAGGCAATAAAAAAAACATTATCATATACGCCAAATACAAACCTGTTGCATATTATCTGCTACTCAAGTGACAATTCTGAACCATCTTCACATGTAACCTTCCCACTTAAATAGAATCTCTCAGCAAAATTTGATATAAAACCAAGCAATGCATCCACATATTTTGCTAAATCAACCTGCCAGAATCATTTGAAGAAGTAAAGACACAGAGGATCTTACACAATGGAAAAGATAGAATACAAAGTGACAATATATGAATCCTCCAAAATATATATGAAATAGTAACCACAACAAAACATGATTGCAATTAATTCAAGCTAGTCCAAAGAAAGAAGATTTCAGTGACCAGTATCATTTAATACCAAATTCCCATCAACAATTATAAATGCAAGGCCGAACAGCACAATAGGTCTTCTAAGTACAAGATTGGATGTTAGCAGATTGAACCCATAAGAGCATAAACAAACTTGTGTTGCATAAAAAAAATACATCATGCAATCAATTCGTAATATACAATTGCAATACATGTTCAATTGGTAAAGCAGCAAAACCAAAAAGATTCGTATTTTTTTTTTCATAAAAGAAACCTATCAATTACATGTCTAACTAAACTGGGTTATATAAGTCTTAAACAAATCAAACCGGCTCTCTGTTCCACATGAGTATCAAGATCAAACGAAGCTTTCACAAATCGTTCGTATAGATTGTGTCATCTCCAACCATACCCGCTCTGTGAGAATAACATGATTGTCCTCTCACCAGCTAAGGTTGGGATTTAAAGGTCAAAGGCTAAGGCATTCTATCGTTACCCTCATATGAGCTGCCAAACCCTTTTCATCTTTCCCGCCCCTTCCTCTTTCATGCTTTAACATAGAAATGAAAAACGGATAAACATCTCCCTCGCCTCATTCCTCCAATCGAGAGCCACCACCTTCCTTTCTCAACTTCTTCCTCGATTGAGCTAACAAAAATATTAAGCTTTCTTTTCTCCCTTACCTCCTTTGCTTTCCTTTTATGGCTTTGTTTATCAACTTTGCAACTTAAGTTAATATGCTTAGTTATAGATTTTAAATTAGCATTATGATGAATTGATAGAGTTGAACATTGAAAAACTTATGTTTTTCTAGTCAAACATATTTTCAGCTATTATTATTTCTCCATACATATTTGTGTTTATTTAAACAAGTGTAATTAATCAAGGATCTGTATTATGTAGAACCTCCATCCAGTGCAATTTAGTAGATCTTCATCGATTTTGGAGACTCTCATCACTCACTGAGAGATAAGTAACCAAAATCTATTAAGAAACAAACACAACATTCTCTGTTAGGGGTGTTATTCTTATTATTTGTATTGAATTTCTAAATAATTTAGAATATTGATAGTCTTGACTTTGTGATTCAATTACTTGCTAAGAATATCATATTTTTTATGTTCATAATGAAATGTTAAATTGCATAGATGAGTTTGTCTTGATTCATTGTTGCGTAAATTTATGTATATTGAATTAATGCATATTGTAGCAATAATTATTTTTCACACATGTTATCTCAATTGAATGCAATAAATTTTAATCATGTTGTCAGTCAATTCGTGTTTAATATATAAATAATACTAGTTATGCTATTTAAAAAATAATTATTGCTAATTTGCTTATTAAACATAAAATGTATCTTTGTATGCAATGTCATATAGTTCAATTAAATCTTTTTTATATTATCTAAGTAGACTGAAATGTCTAGAGTGACAACTCTATAAAAAAAAATCATTGAATTTTTTTGTGCTAGAGTTTACCTTAAGAAGCTTAGGGTGCTTTGATAAAATTAACTATATCAATATGCAAACTAATATGCAATGTAATGATAATGACTAGTTAGTTACATTTAGAGATGTATGACAAAACCTGATATGGTTAAATATGAATAAGTCAGAATAAATTACATGTATTACAGTTCATCAAACAAATAATTATGAGCATCATCATATTAGAACTCACTTTAAAAGATGGGCATATTTTATTAAAGCACTGCAAAATCATTGAAACTCAATGATGAGTTGATAATATTTAGTAGTGATAATATTTACTATCTACTAGTACATATAGTAAATCATATCTTCTGTTATTCATGCTACATGCTACATGCCACATTAACTTGTCGATAAAAATTTAATAATTAATAATTACTAGTTGAGTTTGACTTATCAAACTCATTCATTATATTTTTTTAAAAAAAGTTTTATCATGTAGCTTAACGGATCATCAACATAGAAGCAAATTTTCCAACTTATAGAATCTCATTTTGTGTTGTTAAGCTCCTACAGTTCGGCTTTTAATTTTGTTGAATATTGCATAGTTTTACTTTTGTAAGTATTTCTACAATTTCTTTTCCATTAGATGTTAACGGGCTTCCTTATTAAAATGATATTGTAAGTTTTATTATTTGAATGAATGTTATTTATCCTCCTTGCATGTTGTAACATATTATATTTATAGTTGTTTGTTTATGACTACAAAATAAGGTTCTTTAATCTTTTGGACGAGTCCAATATTGCCACCACCTCCCAAACCCAAAATGCAACATTATGAATGTGAGTTTTCTAGTTATAATTCATTCTCGTTGTATAAATGTTGATGAAAATAATAATAATAAATTATTTAACCTTAAATTATTTAACCTAGCAAAAACAAATCAAAGCTCGTAAACAAGCATGGCTGCACCAGAAAAAAAGTTATATTCAAAATATTCAGCCTACGGAAGGCATTTATAATTTTCCTAGTTTCACACAAGGGCTGCTGTTATCAAATGTTTGAACAGTTCTCAATAAATTTGTTAAGAAAGTTGGCAGCATTGGCAACGGCAGGAGCATCCTGAAGATGCTGCTCCATGGACAAGAACAAATCAAATGATTTCCAGGTCTTGTTCATGCATGTCTGTAGGAAACAATGGAATGAAAGTAAGATGCTCTATACAACTTGACAGCTAAAAATTATAACCGAACTAAAATATTAATAAAATTAACAATTGCTCCACTCCGCAAAATATGGCAAACGTGAATTTTGAAAAATAAAACAAACATATAACATTAACATTAAAATCAATCCCTTGTTCGTTAATCCCAACATTTTTTTGTTTTTTATGAGATATTTTAATCGTATGTCTACAAGCAATATTTTAATCCCAACATTTTAGTCCCAATATTTTAATCCGAACAAGAAAATATCTACAGCAACTAGCGGACTTGGTCGTATGACTATCACTTTCATCCTAACCATACAGATTTCAATTAAATTCGCATCTCAATCAGCACTAGCTTAATATAAGTTTTCCAATCCAAAAGGACAGCCAACATAGGCAGCTCAAGTGATAATGGTTTATTGAAAAATTTATCAAACACTAATGAAGCCAACAAAAAAATTGCTCCTTCAAATTGCAGGACGATATGGAGTGAGGTTGGTAAACCGAACCAACGGTTTGGTTCAGGGATGAACCGAATTTGACCTACCCGAATAGGTGTAACACAAACCCAACCTATTTATTAAACAAATACAAAATCTTAACCCAAACCTAGCGAGTCTTCAAACAGATTGAACCGAACATGATCTGAATGACCCATTTGGACATGCACTTCAAGTCAAAATGAGGTCCAATTTAGACTAAAATCAGATTTATGAGTCAATATCAGATTTTGAGGTCAATCTCCGATTGAAAGTCAAAATCAAGTCAATTTTGGGTTTGCAGAAAACCCAAACCCAACACAACATTTAATCAGTTACAAGTTAATACCCAAGTCTGACCATGAAGTTGATCATATCATATTGAACCAAATTTTTTTCAAGTCCAGTCCAAGTTGACTTGTGGTATAAGTTTAATTATTGACACCCCTAATTAAGACAAAAAATTCACTGAGATTTCCCAAAATGTATGATGAAATACGCTAATTAGTACACCCTTTTATTCTTTTATATTTAATCCCATCCAAGCCATAAAAAGATTGTAATTCAAAAAATAATACCAAAACTATTTATTCTCAAGTTAAATAGTATATGGTCAATTATATTTTTCTATACCAAAGAGGTATTGATATTCGACATATGAGGGCAAAGAGGTATGTAAAGTACCAAAAATAAATGATCTTAGCAAACCAAAATTATGACCGGCACATACCTTCGAAGGATGGTCGGAGGTCGCCCTTCACAGGAGCGCCGACGGTAGCAAGGTGTGGCGAGGCTGCTGGCCAAATAAGCAAGGGGAGGCACACAAGGTGCGGTCGGCGCTGGAGGAGGCGCAAAGGATAGGATCCCGCTAAGAGTTCGCTTGGGAGGGACTAAAGCCAGCGGGATCTGGACACCGGCGTCCAGAGAGGCCGGCGAGAGGTCCCCAGAGAGGACTGAAGGAGGAGGAGCGGCCGAAGTGGGAGGAGGTGCGGCCAAAGTGGGAGAGAGATTCCATGCGAGCTCTTTCT